TTGAAACCACTCACTGATGTAGAGACTCGCTGACATCCAGCATTCCAATGAAACGCTGGATGTCCACAAGTCTTTCTTGAACAATGCAAGCGGGGAAGGAACCATACAATCGTATTGTATTGGGGGACATTCTACAGAGTTTTTTTTCTATGTTTTACAGATTTTTTTAAAAAAAACCGTAAAAGCTACATTTACGCGGTCTGTGCACGTGAGTTATATGGCCAGGGCGGCATAGTATAAAAGGCTAATTTGTAATGATCCGTCGGCTTATTACAGAGATGTGCCAGACTTCTTTCAGAAAACTAGATGGAGGTTCATTCTAGCGTAGTTTCATCCCGCGAATCTGAATATCCCGTTCGTTTTCCTCAAAGATATAACTAAACGTGAGAAAACACAAAAAACATCCCACCAACAGTGACATCGTAAGAAGACCTTTCGGCCGCCAAGCGTGTGTCGCTTAAGGGCCGCGCGTCCAATCGCAAGTTTTCTAGGTATATTCTCCGGCACTGGCACCAGTCGTGACACATTTTTCTGCCCTTTTAAAAAATAGCATGTGCGTGCATAGCTTTGATAGGCGCTGAAGATGCGTGAACAAAGATTTTGAAAGCTGCTGTTGTGACGTCGCTCTCTAGGGAGGTGCTTTCACAGCGCTTTAAAAATGACTATGCAGCCTTGATTAATTAAATTAGCGAATAATTTTGATATTTGAGATTCTGGAGGTCGAATGAAGATTTAAAAGTGTTTTCTCAAATACAAAACTGCTTCAGCCTCTCTCTAAGTATAGTATGTTCGTGAAATTTTTAATCAGTGAAAATAGACCCATGGTTCCAATTAGAAACCTGCTAAGCATCATCAAAACACACTAAATCAATTTTCTTTGTAAAGATATAAGACGAGTAGCATTTTATGGCGTTATAAAAAAATGGTCAATTTGGACGCATTTCCAGACTTCGGTTTCTTACCAGAGCGCATCTTTGCACCTGCGGTCCAGCTGCCCGGTGACCGCAGTGCGAAGCCGCCCCCTCGCCTCCCTTGTAGGATGAAGGGAAGCAAGGCGCATGTGTGTTGCGTGTCTATGCCCCTGGGGAACAGGACCGTGGGCGCAGAGATGAGCTCTGATAAGAAACTGAAACCTAGAAACTCGTCCAAATAAAGCTTTTTACAGAATGCATAAAACGCTACCCCTGAATTATATCCTTCTAAAAAAAACTTGATTTTGTGGTTTTCAATGACTCAGCAAGTTTCTAATTGAAACCATATTTTCATTTTCACTAATTAAAAAGTTGATTAACAAATTGTATTTAATTATCTGACTGATCGTTACGACTAGGTCCCTATACTACCTACGCCTGGCCGTATAACTCGCCTGCACAAACCGCATTAATATAGCTTTCACAACCTTTCTAAACATATATGTAAAGCTTAAAACTAAATCGCCCTGTACAACAGTGAAAAGGCGAAACCAACACGCTGGAGCCATATGGCTCCACCATGCTGGTATCGCCTTTTTGCTGGTATAGGATGTCCCATATTACGTTATGCATGTATGGTTCCGTCCGCCTACATGGTTCCGCCTATATCCACTACGCTGGTATAGGATGTCCCATAATACGACACGCTTGTATGGTTCCGCCCACCTGTATCATTCCGCCTTATTCCACTATACTGGAGCCGCCTTTTTCGCTTGTATAGGATGTCCCATATTACGGTTACGCTTGTATGAGCCTTTTCCGTCATCTTTCCATCATCGAGATTTTCCAACAGGGACTGGCGAGGTGTCCCGAGGCGTCGAGGTTTGTTTGCTAAGAACGGAGAGGTGAGGGTGGCTAAACTTCGTTTCAGCTTAGGTCCGAGCGCGGCCGATGTTATGAGCAAAAGGGCCAATGAAAGAGCGGAAAAAGAGCAACGTCATGGCGTGCTCTCTGCGCTTGAGGGGACTATCCGGCGGGAGAACACGCACAGAGAGACGGCGAATACCGGCTGGTCCTATCAACTGCAGAGAGCACGCCATGACGTTGTGCCTCTTTCGCTGTTTGATTGGTCCTTCGGCTCATAACATCGGCCGCGCTCGGACCGAAACTGAAACGAAGTATAGACCTTTCCAAAAAGAGCGCTCTGGCCGCCGCCATTTTGCGAATCGAGCGACCCCTATCAGCCAGAAATTTCTGGCACCCGCCTGAGCTGTGGAAACCCGGTCAGCGTGACTCCCCACCTGCATTTTGCATTCGGAGTTCGCCGGCTTTTCTTGGAAGTTTTTATTTCATTTTCCTGTTTAGGGTGCTTACCCTTTGTATGTTATCTTCCACTGTGAGAACCAGGGAATACCAGGGCTCGTAGCCCGCTCGGCCTTCGCAGGAAACGAACGAAGAGAGCGAACGTCAAGCAGCCCGCGACGCAGGCAGTTCGACGTGCTTGGAGGATTATTTCCGTCGAGATAATCTCCAAGAAGCCTTCCAGGCTGTGTTCCGGGTCTTCGCAAGAACTAGCTGATAGGTTCGGGTCCGGGGTGTGGCGACATAATAAGCACGTTCGTTCATTTGCTATGAAGCTGTGCAAAAAAGGAGCTCTCTTCTACATGTTCCCCAAAACATACCGGATTCCGTCCGATCGTCGTGAAGTGACTATCGTCGACACTGTATATTGGATATGCTGTGTTATTTGAGACCTTTCTCAAATCCTGTTCGGATAACGCAGCACCGAGGGGTACGTACAATATATTTTTTGTTCGATTGATGAGACTCATTGAATTTTATGTTGTGGGCGGGGAATATCCATGCAGTACGGATATCCTGTGTGGTCAAATATTTTGACCTTTATAGATTGACACGATTGAGTTTACGGTGCCGTAAAACAATGAACATAAAATGAAACAAACATTCCAGTTGCATTTGTTCTGTCGCGCACAGACTCACCAAAACAGCTTTCATTTCTTTTTTGTTTTTGTTCCCAAAAATAGAGCACCGCTTTCTTAAAGACCTCAATAAATTATGCTCGCCACAGAACACAAGATAAAAAAGAAAACGCGGCAATTCAGCCGTCACCAGCGTCCGGAATTGCGCCAACGCAGGCTGCCACAGCCTACTGACGAGAAACTCCACAGCTCAGCGCAGTCGGGCAACACTGACGTACACTCTCAAAACCAGGGACACGCGCTGTAAATCGCTTCGTTCGAGACTGCCGCTGGAAAGGTCTATAGCGTCCGCAAGTTCCCTCCCAAGTACTTTTTCCCTCCCTTCGTGTGCGGCGAGACTCCTCATTCTTCAACGGCGTCGGCGGGTTGGTGCGGTTGGCGCAGTTAACGTCGTCTGCTTTACGTCTGCTAGTCATAGCGATGGCTGCTTACCTTTCCTGCGTCTGTCGGAGATTCACCGCTCTCTGAAAGGCGAAGTCGAGCTCGCTCGTAAAGACCTGCACTTCCAAAAGTCGCAGGAAAGGTAAGACAGATGCAGACGAAGTTGCGAGCAGACGACGTTGCAAAGCAGCAGACGACGCTCAGATACGGGGTCGCGAGCAGCCAATCAGGGCTCGACGTTCTGACGTCACCGCTACCCCCTGCGCAAGAAGCAGTCGAACTTTCCCCAGCTTTCCCTCCGCATTAGTTTCCCACCCGAGTGTTTTAGCAACGTCCATATCACGCGCATTCTCTCGCGTCTACGGAGTTGTGTCTGCCGTTTTAAGATGGAAAAGCAAAAGGAACTTAACCAGGACTCTTTATTTAAACGAAAGGCCATCACACTGGCGGGAAAAGATAACGGAGCAGTACTGCGTGGTGGCCTAGCAATCCCAGCAGTGTTGTTTGGAAGACAACCCTTCCAGAGGCGACAGTCGCGCACTCGTACAAGCGCAACAAGCGCGAAACCTAGAACGCTTTAGAGGAAAGCTAGGATTACTTCTGTGGACGGCGAAGAACTATTGTTGGACTCCGACAACGGCGACGAGTGCATGGTATTTATTTTTGTGTTGGCGTGCGTTTCATAAAATCTGTTCTATGAGGTATGTGTTCAACCTTCATTATTTTACTTGCGTGGTAGAATTGGCAGCAATTTACTTTTCGGATATCTGGGAGCTAAATCTGCCTGTGTTAGGACCGTGGAAACACGGTAGGTCAACGAATAACGTAGAATGGCAAGGGTTTATATAAAATCGGCTACACTACCCATAGTTTTAGGCTACTAAACAGAGCTTTTAAGGAAGCTCTAAATGTTCAGGGCATGTCCCGCGCGCGGATTGTTCGCTATTTGCTCGAATATTCTGAAATTTCAAAATATGCAATTCTAGAACCGAATACAAATCGAATATAAAAGAATATTCTATTCGTATTCGGACTCTCATATATTCGCACACTCCTTATTAGCCCTCACAAAGTTTCTTTTTCCTAATATACCCGAAGCTTGTTTTGTGTGTTTATGTCCAGCTCTGGGGGAATGCTTTCCCTTGAGCAAATCAAATCGAACATGTTATTTCAGGCAATACTCAAAAGTATTGGATGTCCGCACAAGCCTACCGTAGCAATCCAGCCGTGTAGCGGAGCCCGGTTTATCATATTTTCAATATTATTGAAGTGAAAAAGCGTTTTAGTGCAATGTTGGCACAAATTACTCACATTTTGGCAAAATGTAGCAGGATGTAGCAGGGCGAGTGCTTTGGTGCACATATCACAGCAATCACATCACTGAAAAGGTTAAATCGTACGGAACGGCTTTCTGCTCTCCAGAGATCTAAAGCAGTCTGTGACGGAACAAAACAGTACTGTCCGAGCCTCCCGACGCTGTGCCTAGAGCTCAGGAGGTCTAGTTTCTTTGGTGCGTCTATCGCCGATTGTGGCCTCCAAGCGCCGAGCACCAAAATGGCAGAGCCCATGAGAAAATTGGGGAAGAGAGTGCCAGTAGCGTTAGCTGAGCATGTTCAGCGGCTTTAATCGTAACTAATGAAAGGAATTGACTGCAATTGTCGGGGGGAGGGGGGGGGGGGGGGGGGGGAGACTCAGTAAAAGAGGCTTCAACAAGGTGCAATGACTTTTATTGTGCAAACAACTTAAACCCGGCCACTCGCCGACTTACAAAAGCAATCCCGAAAGTAATGTGATGATTTCCGGGCGGTGTCACGCTGATGGGACGGTGGGTGTGGTGTAACCGAGGTGTAACGGGCTTCGTTACACCGCGGCGTCCGTTCGACGCAGTACGAAGATCCCCGCTGCGAGCCCTCCGACGTTGACTCCGTAGACGCGCGACTGGCGCCACAGCCTGCCCGTGCGTCCGACGGCCTGCGAAGTTAGCCGCAGGATGCGCCGTTTTACGGATTGCTACAACTCCCGACGTTTGTTCGTATACCAAGCACGAGTTAAATGGACCATGCAACACGTTTCTAACTATTTTTACAATTAAATTACCTATGCAGGAATTGGCGCGCGAGGCTCTAGTCACACAGTATCGCTCAACACGAGAGAGAGAGAAAAAACTTTCTTTATTTATACGCCAAGGTCCGGCGCTCAGTTGTATTTAGTCACCTACCAGTCCTCACCCAACACGTTTTTCACGTGCTGAATGAGCGCCGGCAGGAGAATATGGGCATCGGTTGGTGGACTAAGCCAGTCCGTCCATGAGTGAGGTTGGAGACTGTGAGATAGGGAGGAAAGAGAGGATAGGAGGATAGGTTGAATGTAGGAGCATTGCCACAGGCAGTGTTCTAGAGAGGGTTATTCGCCGCAGTTGGGGCATTTCGGGCGTCCGGCAAGGCCCTGGATATAGTGGCGAAAAAGGGGAGTCACGACCGAATTGGTCTGAAGTCTGCGGAGAATGGCGCTGTCCTCCCGCGAGAGGGATTGGGGGGGGAGCGATAATTGTGGCGGTGTTAGCGCGTAGTTCTCTTAAGAGGGATGTACGCTCCTTGTGCAAGAGTTTTCGGTGTTCCTTGGGGTCATAGTCGGACGGCCAGAGGCACGGAGGACCCGGAAAATTCGTAACGCGGGTGAGCTCATGAGCTCGGTTGTGTTCCTCTACGCCTTGATGTCCGGGGATCCACTGCAAGGTAACATGGAGGGAGGGATGCGTGTCAAGGTGACATTGCAAAAAGCTGTGGATATGTCCGGGTAGCGCACCGTCACGAAAACTGCGGCATGTTTCCTGTCTATCTGTTCGAATGCAAATGTGGTGAGTAGGATGGTGAGGTCGAGTGATGGCTTCAAGAACCGCTAGGGTCTCCGCGGCGGATGTGGTCGGGACATTGCTGTGTTCATTAATATGCTCATAGCCAGGCCCTACTACAGCCGTTATGCTTCTGCTGGGACTGTGACTGGCATCTGTGTAGTAATATGTGGTATCCGCTCATGGTGTCTCGCGGTCTATCCGTTGGACTAGTTGTGTGCGTCGGGCAGCATGTTTGTCCGGATGCATATGCTGAGGTATGGGCATGACTGTGACGCGGGGTAGGGACTCCCACGGTGGGGGTGGGGGTGGTGGAGAAGGAGGCAAGGTGGTGGTGTCGTAGCCTTGATGCTCGAGGAGCTTGCGGCCTTGGGGGAATGTTTGAAGCCTTGCCATATGTGCTTGGCGGCAAATAGTGGTACGTTCTTCAAGTGTGTTAAAAAGACCAGTCGAGGCCACTAGAAAATTTGCGGCAAATCGTGGTACTCCCAGGGCTAGTCTGGTGTACCTTCGGAGCGCTGCTTCCAATTTGGAGAGCTGAGTCTTGGTGATGGATAGATATGGAAGCTGGTACAGTACACGGGAGTACACAAGGGCCTCGATAATCCTGCGAAGCTCCTGTTCCTTGAGTCCTCTTTGTCTGCGCGTTACTCTACTTAGCATGTGGTAAATCTGATTGAGCTGCCGGAGAATCGTGTCCATCCATACGTGGGCCTTGCCATTGTCCTGTAGGAGGAATCCCAGTATTCGGATGTGAGAGCGGCGAGGAATAGGGGTGTGGTCAATGTGGAGCTTGATGCTGTCGCGTTGCTCTTCTGCTTTACGACCTGTTTGATTGGTAACTACAATGAATTCAGATTTGGTGGGAGAGCATTTGAGGCCAATACTGCTCAGGTGGTTCTGAATGACATTCAGACCTGACTGGATCGTGTGTTCCTGTTGTCCAAGGGATCCTTTACAACACCAGATTGTAATGTCATCTGCATAAATGTTGTGTTCCAGGTGTGATATAGAACTGAGCTGGGCAGGTAGGTGAAGTAGGGCAATATTAAAGAGAGTGGGGGAAAGAGCACTAAATACCGGCGTCCTTGAGGGACGCCGGTATTTAGTGCTCGAGGTGTCGAAAGCTCTCCATTGATTTGGATTTGTACAGAACGACCAGTTAAGAAAGCTTTTATATAGTTGTAGAGGCGAGCGCCCGGTTGTAGTGTCAGAAGGTTGGTAAGGATGGCTGAATGTGGTACGTTATCGAACGCTTTGAGTATGTCTACACCCGCGATTGTTCGGGTTTGGACTAGGCTAAGATTTTGGTACACGTCCTCCGAGATTCGGAGCATGGTGTCCTGAGCGCTGACGTGTGATCGGAAGCCTGTCATTGTGTAGGGCAGAGCGTCTCTACTTTCTATGTGCCAATTGAGACGGTTGAGGGCCATGCGTTCCATTAATTTGCCTACACATGATGTGAGGGATATCGGACGAAGGTTGGTAATAGAGTTGGGGGGCTTGCCAGGGTTAGGGATTGGGATTATCACTGCCGCTTTCCATTCTTGTGGAAGGGTGCCAGATTCCCATGCGGTGTTTATGTATTCAAGAAGCTGTTCTAATTGTGGAAGTGGGAGGTTACGGAGGGTAGTGTAAGTAATACCGTCTTTGCCTGGAGCCGTGTTTCGTTTGAGCGAAGATAGGGCCGCATGTAGCTCACCTACCGTAAAGTTGCTGTTGATGCCTGTGTCCATTTGGTCGAGTGATTCGGGTGGATAGCTAGGAAGTTGCTCTGTACTCGGGCCGATGGGATAGAACGTTCGGTAAATTTCTTCTGCTGTCTGTTCTCGCGTCTTGCCAGAGTGCATCATAATTTTGTCAATTGTGTGTCGTGTGTAGCCCTGTCCTAGAAGCGTGCGTAAAATTTTCCACACCTTAGGAGTGTGCAGTTGACCATTTAGCTGGTCACACGTTTCAAGCCAGTTTTCAGTACAAAGTTGTTGCGCGTATTCTTCAGCTTCTAGCGTGATTTGTCGGATGGCCTTGCGAAGGCCACGATTTCCTTTTTGTTTCTTTCATTTTTGGACTAGTCTGTGTCGCTTGTTCCAAAGGTTAAGCAGATGAGAGTCTATTTGCGGGTGTTCAGGGGTGCGTGTGATATTTTTAGTGTGCTTCGATTTCGTTTCACATATGGCGTTGACCCAGGACTGTAGATCTGTCGGCCCGTGTACCTGGTCTAGGTCTAATCGAAACCGGTGCCAGTCAGTGAGGTGCGTTTTTGGGCCTGAGTGAGTGGGACGGGGCTTGATGCGAGGATCAGCTAGCTTGATTTCGATGATGTGATGATCACTGCCTAGGTTTTCGTGAAGATTCGTCCACGTGACGTTTCCCACACCGCGGTGCCAGCTGAGGTCTGGGTTAGTATCTCGCTCAACGCTGTTGCCCTGTCGCGTGGGGTCCGTTGTGTCGTTAAGGAGCGTATATCTGTTGTCCTGAGTTTTGCGTTCGAGACGCATCCCGGTTTTGGTGGTGCGCGTATAGCCCCAGGATGTGTTATGCGCATTAAAATCACCAGCCAGGATGATGTCCATGTGCTTGTGTTGCTGTGTATACGCGTCTATCCACCTCACAGATGGCCAATAGAGTCCTGGAGACCAGTACACGTTGGCGATGATAACATCTCGATTGTTGAGGCGACATTGTACTATAACCTGCTCCTGAGTTGAGTTGTTTATAGAGGCGGTGTCGATTTGAATAGCTGGGATATGCCTAGCTACGTACGTGATGGTAGTAACCGGTATGTGGGTTCCTTGTGGGGTTTGTTTATCTTTTTTGGTGATGCTGCCTTGCATAAAGTGATCGTATCCAGGAAATGTAATAGGACTGTTGGCTTCTTGAACCAGGATGATGTCAGGTTTGTTTGTCGGTTTATGGATAAATCGTTGGAGAAGCCCTTTCTTTCTGCGGAGACCGCGGCAGTTCCACTGCCAAATTGTTAGCGAACTATTAGAGGATGCCATGTTGAGATAACGTAGGAGATAAAGGTTCCTCGATGTTAATAAGTCTGGGTGTTTGCGGGCCTGCCATCGTTTGCATATTGGCTACTAATTGTTCAACTACTACGTCGGTGCGTGCGAATTCGTGTTTCACGTAGTGCATCTCGGTTTGTATGGTACGAATGATCGTGACCTCATTCATTAGCAGCTCGAAGGCGTGTTCAAGACGTCGTATACTTGCGAGTTCCGGTGTGAACCCTGCTGTGCGGGATGCATCGGGGCGCTGAATCGTTTGGGCGTATGATGTATGCAAAGTTGGAACGCGCATGACGGGAGCTGTGTATTGTGAAGGAGAAGAGAACGGTGAAAGTGCAGATGAGGGTTGTGAACGGGCCGGCTCACCCACCTCCGTGTTGAAGAGGTGGATCGGTATTGTGCCATGAATTACTTGAAAAGAGCAACTAAAAGAGGGAAAAGAAATTCAAATGCCTGTAGCGCAAGTCGAGCAACTGGAGACGAAAACTGGGAAAGGAAATCACGTATGGGCTTCTCTGCCGCAAGTATGATTGCAGACCAGACTCCAGAGCTTGGCTGCGAACGGTCAAATGGTTGGTCAATACGGAGAGGATGTTGTTCATTGCATCTCTTTGTGGTCAGTATCTGGCTGTAGGATGGTCCCGTGCAATCTTGTCTTTGTGAGAAATGTTCCGGGGTTTTGCTCTGGGCCAATGTTTTGACAGAAGTCTGGTTTTGGGGAAGTGCCTCTTCTCGTTGGTGTTTTCGTTGAGATGTTTTGATGTCCATTATTTGAGTGGAGTCCGCCTTTTGTGTAGTGCTTGAAGGTCCAGCAGTGGTGGAGCGAGAGGCTGTCAGGTTCTCTTGGGAGATAGATTGGTCTAGGGCCGGAAAGTTGGAGGCATCTGTGACCGAGCTGCGAGCTGTTCTGTAGTCGACATTGTTGACTTGACGTATGCGACGTATTTCAAGCTCATCTTTCCATATGACGCACTGGTGAGATGAGGCCTCGTGGTTTTTGCCACAGTTGCAACATCGTGTAGGTGTCTCATTGGGGTTACATTGTGTTCGCTGGTGAGGCCCAGAGCATCGTGAACATGTTGGTGCATGTTGGCATGTAGATGCAA